TGATGTGTAAGCTCTCTCTCGAATATTCGAACCTCGCGGGTAGGGTCGCGACTATTTTATACTTTGCCGTTACTTTATGAACTATACGGATTGAACCCGAGAGGGATTTGTATTCCAATTATTAACTATGTATAAATGTACGGAATAAACGGGTATTTTGTTAACGAACTTGGATTGGTGTGCGTTTCTTCCGACATTCTCCACTCCATACTGAACCCGAAGTCCTCGACAAGATCGCTCGTGATAATTCCCCATCCATCCGCGTATCTATCCGCGATAAATTGATAGATTGGTGTCAGATCCTGACAGGTGAAAGCATCTAACGATCCTTTCTCCTAACCCTTTTTTCCCATCCTTTAGACAAGCGAGACCGGACCTCAAGGTCTTGAGTCGAGTAAGTGGTAGGAGAGGGACATCCTCGTAAACATCCTACCCCCGATTAGTCTCACAATTCTACTGTAATTATAGTAATTTTGAGATCAGCAGAAAAACATGAACTGACTGCATTACAACCAAAGATTGAAAATAATTAGAAGTTGGAAATTTCAATATGTCCGATAAGTGTTTAATAATCAGAGCAACTTCTTTTGACAATCAACAATTCATTGAATATCCGTTCAAAAAAGTAGAGAGAACTTTCTGTTGTAACCGACAAAGAAGATCATCTACAAATATGTAGTCATTGTGATCCATTTAAACAAACTGGCAGTCGTGAAGACCACATGGGAATCCAAAATAAAAACAGAATTGGCTGAATTTATTTGAGGAATGTCATATTTACCAGTCTGTTGAATCCAAAGGATGTTCAACATACATAAGGAAAGTTTGTTAAAATTAAAATTTTTCAGTTATTTCTTTATATCATTTGTGGTCTCAATAATTTAACACCAGGAAGGATGTATTTTACTAATTCACAACTATAATTTATTTAAACTTCTTAATGCATTTGAAATTAAGAAAATATTTGTAGTGGATTTTTATCCTCTTGTTTTGACTATGCAACACCATCTTGAAAGTCAAAATGAAATATTTTTAGTGTAACATTGATCAGAAATCAACTTTTATTGCATGTTGTTGGTTATTATTATTTAAAGTTGGCATTGTGATACGGCCTTTGGTCGGTTAAGAAAAATCTAAGATAGCTACATAAGAGAAAGTTATTCATTAGTATGAAGTCGATGCCTATCTCCCAATTTATAAGTTTTTAGGATAAATTTTCTGAAGATTAGCTTAGAACAAAGCAAAGTAAATAGTCTTGTAAAATATTGTTTATCATTTCTTAAAACTTAATGAATTTAAGAAATTTCCTTTTATCTTATAAGAAATAGTGATCTTTAAAGTACTGAGAAAATTAAGCTAAGTGAATATAGCAGTTAAGACTCTGAGAGAGTAACATCTCACCAATTTGGTCAAAAAAGCATTGAGGAAGGAAAGGAATAATCGTTGGAAATAACTTTAGAATGGCAGAATCCCTCTGGATTTTTACACAGAATTTATAGATTTTCTCTCAAACATTTGGAAATGAAATTACCCTTTCATAATGATTTCCAACAAAAAAAAAAAAATTTACGTTACCCAGTCTTTATTCGTTTGTTAATTTCTTTGTGTCCAGTTTTATTTTGTAATTATTTGTAAAGATTTGATAGTGATTCCAAAGAATAACGTAAAGTAAACGTGTCAAATGTATAAGAAAATAGGCCTTGTAAGCAAGTAAAATTATGTATATTATTACATATTTTGGTTTAAAATCATATAATTAATGCTTATAATGTATAATAATGCTTATAAAGTAGACTGATTAATTTATAATTAGGGGTTAAAAAAATAAGTTTGAGATCTTTGACATTCACTAGGGCCTTCACTACTCTGTGAAAGCCATAAAAATTATAAGAATAAAATCTGTAAAACAATTAGAAATTAATGGAAAATTTAATTTATATTATATATATTTTTTATGTTGAAGAATAAATATTGGGGAAATAAATGTTTGAGGCTTCTTCTTGATGGTTCTACTGGAACCTCTTGGACTCTTGGCATCTCTACTTGAGCTTGTTTTCAAGCTTAGCTCCTTAGTAAAACAGTAAGTCCATGTAATTGGACTGCAATTTAAAAAAAAAAAAGCTGTAGACCTATAAATTCTACTGTCGTTCGTCTGTCTGTCTGTCCTTCCTCCATCTCTAAAAGGGAGTTAGATAGGTGAAAACGAAGACCAGGTATGGAAAGACTTTGTGTGGCCTTTCCATAAACGGAATTACATAAATGACCGGCAGGACTCTGTTGTAATCAGGAAAAGTATGATGTACAGGGGTAAAATATTACTAATTTGAGATCGAGAGCATATATTTTATATTAAATAATTTAAAAATATGATTAAAAATTGCAACCCGGCATTGTAACGATGTGACAATTAATAATTACTCGTTATATATACAATAAAACCTCCAATAACGTCCACCTGTAAACGGCGGACACTTTTTCATCGACAAAACTGCGTACAAAATAACCTCCAAATAATAACCATTTTTAACGTTCCTGTCAGTGGCCGTCGTTTGGAGGNTATGTATTTTGTGAATTACATATCCGATCGTCGATTACGGCTTAATTTATTGGACTTAAAATTCCTAACCATCACTATCGCTATCCGAATAAACTCCTAACATATTTAAACTGTTAGAAGATTGGGAACTTGTCCGAGAGTCTTCAGTTTTAACTGAACGAGTGGTAGTACTAATGGGAGTTGTATCGGTGACATTAGTTGTTGTTGTAGTAGAGGTGGTGTTTGTTGAGTTCTTTAATTTTACAAAATTCTTTAAAGAATTTGTGGATTTTAAACTTCCCCCCATGTATTTTTACTACTGTTTCCACTTGGTAATTTTTCCTAAAAAAGAAAAATGTTAGTAAAATCTATATGTTTTCATTATTATAATTATAAACCAATTTTTAACAAATAATTTTTATAAATATCAGAGCAAAACACTCAAATAATTATGAAAAATTATCACTATTAACAACTGCATTAAACAGCAATTATTTTAAAAAAATTTTCTTAATTAACAAATTTTGTTAAAACATTTAATATGAGTTTTTTTAACAAACAAATTATAAAAAAAATATTTCATTAAATCATTAAAAAATAAAGGTAAAATATCATCACTGTTGAAAATTTAATGAAAGTATTTTTAACTTACAATTATCATAATATAAGTACTCTAACATAAATAATTTTCATATAGGAAACCATATTATTTAACTATACAGGAAACTAAAATATTAAAATTATATATAATAATAATCTGTATTATAATTATACCAATAATAAAATTATAATGAGTTTTAAAATATTTAAATATTGATTAATAACAAATGTTTGAACTTTTTTTAAAACTTATTTTTGTAATTTTATTTATTACTGGTAAAATGAAAAATTAATCTTTCTGCATATCTCTCACACAACCTGTAAAATAACAATGTATATAATTATTGTAAAGCTCACGTTTTCTAAATTTATTTATTACTGGTAAAATGAAAAATTAATCTTTCTGCATATCTCACACACAACCTATAAAATAACCATGTATATAATTATTGTAAAGCTCATCTGTTTTCTAAATTAATATTAAGTAAGCATTTCAAAGAATAGTTCTTTCATCCTTCAAATGTATAATGCACCTCTCAAAGATTTAAAGCATCATTTCAAAGAAACTGGTTTAATTTTGCTTATTGAAAACAATATATTTTTCAATTCTCAGTGTATTTCCAAATAAACAAGCTTTGACAATAAACAAATTATCTAAACTTTGAATACAACTAAACAGCAATATAATCTTTTTGAATATAATTCTTCCTTCCATGCCCACTTCTGCTAGCAATTACAATGGAAATTAAAATATTTAAATGAAATAAGAAAGTGAAATATCTTTTGAAGACCATGTAAATTTCCTTTTGAAGACTGCTTTATAAGCTTTCATATGTATTAAATTTGTACTTCTTATTGAAAAAGTAATGGATTATTTTATAATTGTAAATTTGATTAAAAAAAAAACACCTTTAACAATCCAGCAAATAAAATTTACTAAAAAATAAAAATGTTTTTGATTGTTTTTAACCAATCTTCCTCAGTTACCATAAAATAGAATGTGAACGTAGACCGTAAATTTAAATATAAATGAAAATGAGAATTCCGAAATACATAAATAACTAAAAATGTAATTGCAGACAATAAAATAAATAACAATTCTTTGTAAGGTGGTATTGCAACAATTGGAAAACAACATACTGCCCAAATTTCAACACATTATTTTAAACACTAGATACGTGGACGATATATTCATCTTATGGTGGAGAAAACCAAACTAACAGCATTTTTGGAAGCGATCAATAATAACCCCTATGGATTATTCCTGCAATTAGACCAGGAGAGTGATACTACTGTAAATTTCTTGGACATTTCCATCACTTGCAAACATGAAGAAATTTGGACCAACATATACAGAAAACCATGTACTCTTCTTTCTGTTGGTTGGTTTGTCAAGAAATCCATCAATCAGCATTAAGTAGTTGCCACTGCAGTCAATATTGATAAAACAAATTTATTTTTAAATAAATTAATTTTGTCAATTACAGTACTTAATAATTTGTATATTAGTTTTGTTGTTTTCAGTGCTGAAAAGTAATGTGTTTATTTTACTAATACACTTAAAACCTGCCTGAAGTGGAACCTTAATAAAATGGAAACATGCCTAAATGGAAAAATTCTTAGGAATAGCAATTTTCTGTGTTATAAACAGAAACCTGCCAAACCAAAAAAATATTCAGTACTGTATGAGTCCAGTTTACACAGGTTTCACTGTAATTACTTTTTTTTATTACAGTTTCTAAAAAATTAAAACAGTCAAAGAAAGTTTAGAATCAAAAATAAAAGTATTTATTACTTTTAATTTATTACTTAAATAGATAGTGTTGTGTTAAAAATAATGCAAAAAGTCTTTTAATTAACTCATGATTAACAAAATGTGCAATTCAGAGTACAGGATGAAAAACAGGTAGTTTTAATGGTTAAAAAAAAAACTAAATCGCTAGATAGCATGTGTGAGAGCCGAAATCTTATTATTAAGGAAGAAACTTTAACCTAATATATTTTGCTAAAATTAGAAGAAACTTTAAATTAATGTAAAATTTTGTTGTTCCAAATCCAGATAATTTTTCAACAAAATTACTGATTAAAGAGGAGATTAAACTGTTTCCCACAGATTTAGTTCCTTGTTGGAAGTGACACATCAACTGTGTCACTTTAACTTAACGGGTGAAAATCGTTGATTGGACTCAACATACTAAAGCTTTGAATGAACACGTGGAAAAAACCCAGAAGAGACCCCGTATAAATCGGAGGGAATGCTGACGATGACAATATTGCTCCTGGACCCTTAACCGAAAGAAACGCCTGACTTGGATTAATCCTTACCCATCATCTGGACTAAGACTTCCAGCACCTGAACTCTGATCCTGTAAACTCCTGAACTCCACTTCACCAAAGATCCTTCATTGAAGACCGGCTTGGACCACAGGTATTTGTCACCACGTGAACCATATGTAAACTCTCTCTCTCGAGTTGTTAAGCTTAAACCTCCTCACTCTTAATAAATCCTAAGATAAATAACCTTGTATATAGCTTTATAATTAAATAGATATTTGTTAAATGAATAATCTTGTGGAGTGCATTTCTTCTTTCCTTTCGTCTCCCAACCGAATCTAACCTATGTATGCGACTGCTCACATGAAAGAAACAGTTTCTGTGTCTGTCCGTAAAGATACAGTGGTGTCAGTCCTGACAAATCTGTCATTGCAGTCTTTGCTGACACAATGTCAACCCTTCGGTCCTGTGGTGCCAAAGCATAGAGGGGGGGCCCTTGGTATTGTCACACATGCAAGTGCCTGATGTGAGAATCGGAACAAAATTTTATAATTAATATAATTAAACATAGATAGTTTTACATTGATCTAGATTAGGGCTGTTTTCAGATCAGCCTTTCTTCAAAAAGAAACTCTAACCCATTTCCTTCATCTTTGAATGGAGAAAGCAAATGAATGCTGTTTCTTTATGTGAAAAATAATTTTTACTACGTGGGAACGTGATAATTATATGTTTTAAATTTAATTTTCACTCAAAATCATTATTTAATTACTCTGAGAAAACAAATCTAATTTTTTACATGTTGTTTACATTAACGGAAGCCACATTCTTTCCCTTTTCGTCACTTTTGTGTTGAAGAGGGAAATAACTTCTCTTCAAAGGACCTTATCTCATTTTAACAACCATTTGGGTATCTAACCCCCTATGTACGCTCCCACACATCCCGTTAGCGAACATGAATTGAGGACTGCTATTGGTCAGAATTTCAGATAAAAATAGGCAATTTCCTCTGATCAAGGAGTTCTCCAAAAGTTTTACTTGTATTCCAATCCCCGAGTCTTCTTCGTCCAAAAATTTAACTCCATTCACCCAACAGTTCCCACTTTGATCAACATCATCTTCCTTGATTCCACCGCCATTTGTTCTATGCCATCATTGTATCGTCGCCCAACTCTGAAGACTACTAACCAATCAACAGACGAGGTAGTACATGTTTATTTGATGTAAAATCTCTCTCTCTCTCACTCAAATAGATAGGGAATTACAAACCCCTTGCTTATCTGTAATTTATTTTTATTCTTAATAAATTTTGTTTCTTTGATTTAAAATGGACTCGTTACTGAACTCAACTCCACAGCAAAGTCTTATCACAGATCTACAATCCCTTTCTCTTGGAAAAGATTATTATTTTATTCATTAGTGTGCCTAACACTCTAATTAGGCTGGTGTCAGAAAAAACAACTCATAGGGACGTTTTACGACTTTTCTATGACAAATTTCTTTATAATATTAAAAACCTACCCTGCAGGCGGATCTTTCCATTCTGAGGCCAAACGAATAAGAAAAACCATTTCTTACCCACCGGATTCCCACAATGATGTGTTTGTCCCATAGACTTAACATTATATCTTTGCCAATCTGCCATGCCTGAATCATTCAACCTTTCTCAAATCTCTTTAGCAAAATCAGCTACAGGGTAACAGCATGAATTTGATACCCAAACCATATTTGTACTCTCAACTATTCTTTCAAACAAAGCTGGACAGTTTTTGAGAGTCAACAATATATATATATTATCAATGAAAACAAAATAACCAAACTTAAACATGCTTCTTAAAACCCTTACTTCACATTCATTTTTCTTACTCCATCTACATTAATTCAATAATTTTCTGTAGTTATCATAACATGGTTGTATTGTAATATTGTCTGTGATTAATTTTATCATGATTTATAACATAAAAAGTAAATTTTAAAGAAATTACAAAATTCATACAGCTTTGCAACAAAATATGCATGTAAAATTTATCAAAACATTTGTACAGATTATTTTATGAAGTGGAATAGAGAAATTTAGCAAAAAAATACTACTAATTGAACAAAATATTGTTTTATTATAATATGCTTCTTGTTTAAAGTGTATTGGTGAGCTGTATAATGGCTCCTTACTTCTAGACTTATCACACTGTCATCAGATACAAGACCAGCCATTTTCCAGTAGTATGCATTTTGGATTTAGTCCCTCAGTAGCATTTTTACAATTATTCAAAGATAAAAATCAGTAAGTTAAACTGCCATTAATACTATTAGCTTAGATCTTAATATAACTTACATATTTTGCAAAATTGACATGGAGTTGTAAATATGTAAGTTATATTAAGATCTAAATTAATAGTATTAATGGCGGTTTAACTTACTGGTTTTTTCTTTGAATAGTTGTAAAAAAGCTGCTGAGGGACTGTAAGTCTGAAATGTATACTACTAGAAAATAAATTGATATATTGAGGCTGATCTTGTATCTGATGACAGTGTGATTAGTCTAGAAGTAAGGAGGCCATTATACAGCTCACCAATACAAGATATTGTTTTGTTATATATATAAAAAAATTAATTTATAAAGAATTTTCAAGACAATTTTTTAATATTCTGTATTTTATATTTTAAAAATTAGACGTTGTTGGCACTTCATACATTTAAATTAAGATTTTCATTCATATTAACATATTTATTTCATTATATTTTAAAAAAAATGTGTGTGTACTAAAATATAAAATTTTGAAACTCAAGTTGTTCAAATTATATTATTTATTTCATTTTTTTTCACTGAAATGATCCCAACAGTTCTTTCTAATAGTTTTTTTTTCAAACATCTATTTAAGTAACTTATATTACATTTTTAATGAATGTATAATTTCTTTTAGGTAATCATTATACATAATAATTTCAAATAAAAAAAAAAACTTCAGATAAGATATCAGTAGGATTATTCTTTTTCGCTCGTTTAATTATTGGTTTACTATCCTTTTTGTCATCTATTATTTCTTCTACAATTTCCTCAGATGTACGTTTTAATGATTTTTCATCAGATTTTCCAAAAACTTCCCTGTAGAGAATATATTTAAACAGAATTAGACTTTTTAAATAGTTAATATTTCAATTTAAAAATTTTAATTGTAATTGTATAAAAATTCAAATCACAACAGCACAATGAGAATGCAAAAGTAATTGTAATTTGAAGTCTTACAATGATATAATCTTTTAATTTTTTACAATAATGTAAATAAATTTCAAACAAATTAAATTTACTTTTTCAATTTAGCAAAATTATTGTCTTTGTTTGACAACTGTAATTTAAAACTTGAAAATTACTGAATATTTAAGTTTTGTATGTAGATAAAATTATTCTTATAAAATAAATATAATATTTTTTTTGAATAATTATAAAATAATAGTTTAAAATAATTTAATATAATTAAAACACATTTTTATATAAATTTCTCTGCTACAATGAAATATTTTTAATGCTACGAGGGTTGTCCCAAAAGTAATGCACAATGCGCTCTAGCAGGCATTGTAGGCAATGTAGACAGTTGATCGAAGCATCAGTGTGTAGATTGAAGTCTTACAAACACATTGGTATCATATTGTAGTGGGATTCGTTTAAAGGGAAAATACCAAAAATTCAAAAAGACAATGAGAACAGTCTGTCGGGTCGGATTTCAGCAATAGAGCAACATGCATATATTTGCATTGAAACAGTGTGCAGAAAAAAGTACCCGAAATTCATGCTGCGTTAAAAGTGTGTGGTAGGTTTACTGTAAATCATAGCACAGTAGAGAGGTGGCACACGAAATTTTGAGAAAGTCCAACAAGCATTGAAGACGATCCATGTGCGGGATGGCTGTTTACTGTAACAGCTGATAACACAAATGCTTCAATTGCAACGTTGCTTGACAAAGACTGGAGAATCACAGTAAGAAACAGGAATCTCAAAAACGAGTGTGCATTGTATTTTAACACAGGTGCTAGGCAAATGAAAGGTGGCGGCATCAGTGCACAAATCGTTGAACTTCTCAAAAAATATGGCTGGGAACAGCTCCACCACCTAGCTTAGAGTCCTGATCTGAGCCCACCTGAATTCAATCTCTTCCTCAGGCCAAAGGAACTCCTATGGGGGATTTTTCAATGTTGGAAGAGCTCCAAAGAAAAGTGACTTGAGAGATTTGGATGCTCAATAAGAAGGGGATGCTGAACGGAATCCAAGCACTTCCGCGCCACTGGCAAGCGTGCATTGATAAGGAAGGGGATTATTTTAAAGGCCTGTAATTACTTGTATCTTCTTCAATAAATATTTTTCGAGTTAGAGCCAACTGTGCATTACTTTTGAGACAACCCTCGTATTTTTAAAATTAATCTAAACTAATTTATTTTAAAATGTTAAACATGTAAAAATACCTAGATAAACCTTCACCAGCAAAATTATATTAAATTTTAAATGTTATATTGTATTAAAATGATTAAAGTCAATAAAATAGATACTCAAATAAAAAATCAAACTACATAAATTAGGTATATTACAAGTATTCAACTATAAAGACCTCACAAACCAAGATCAGTTAAAATCCCAATAGACTTTACTCATACAAATGTTTTTGTCATTTATAAATAGACATCATCAGATAAACATACAACTAAAGTCTACTGTGATTTTAACTGGCCTTGGTGTCTTTATTACATTTAACCAGTTAGTGCAGTGGCAAATCTATTCTGTATGCTACAAATTATTTTTATACTGTTAGAAACTATTTTGTAACAATATAAAAATAAATATTTTCAGTACACAGTTGAACTTCATGCATTAACTAAATCTTAAAGTTTCTTTTAATCCCAATTTATGAATCAATTGCTTTTTTCAATTTCTAACAATATTTTCAGGTAAAAAAAAATCTACATTAAAGATCCTTCATAACAAATGTGACTTCAAAAAACTTATTATTCATTACTTTTAGCCTTAGTTATTCTATTAAATAACCTAACCAATTTTTACCCTAAATGAAAAACTGGTTAGATTTTCACAATTTAACATATCCATATCAAATTGTAATTATAAAAAAAAAATTGATTTAAATTCTACCTATTTTATGTAATTTTAAAATTAAATAATTACCTAATAAAAGCTTCATCCTCTTCCTCTTGTTTTACTCTTAAATTTTCCTCATAAACAGCATACTGCTTTAGCATATTATCAAAATCTACTTGTGCATGTCTTTGATTCAAATCTCTCAATTCTTCTAGAGACTCTAACAGTTCCATTTCACGTTTTGATGCTTTTGTTCGATTTTCTAATAACTAAAAGAAAGAAATTATATGCAGTATTTAAAATTAGTTACATTACAATAAAACTTTACTGTATTTTAGTACAAATAAGAGCATGCTCTTATAAATGGAGCACAATGTGTCTTTCAAAAATTACTTTGTTTACTTTGTTATATGTTCCTATTTGTTTGGAAATACAGTATTTGTTGGGCTGCAATTTGAAAAACTTGTAGATCTCTAAATTCCCACTATCATCCACCATCTATCCTTCCTTAATCTTGAAAATGAAGTTAGATAGATGAAAGCCAAGACCGGATATGAAAAGATTAGGAGCAGGCGGTCGCAATTAACTATATGCAAACTTCCAATGTAAACTGGAAGTCATGTTATTTCAATTCAAAAATTTTTCTTTGAAAGGACTTAGATACATGACTTGCACGACTCTATTGTTAAAGAAAAAGTATGATGTACAGGGGCAAGACACTACTAATTTGAGGTGGAGAGCATGATTAAAAATTGCAGCCCAACAATGTGACAATGTCACAATAAATAATTGCTCATTTAAATTAAGTGTTTATAACATGCTATATTAATAAATAGTCAATCCCAAATAGAAACAATATATTGACATCTTTATATTGGCTAAATAATTCTATTAACCTATCCTGTGTTATTCCCCATATTGGGGTTGTAACCTTTGTTTGACCCATCAGGTTAAACCTGATATATCTTGTTACAGTATTGGTATATTTTTGATACTATATGTCACTATGCATCATAATTTTTATATTAAAATGTACTTTTGAAATATAATTTTTTTGTTCTTATATTTTTCAACATATTTATTTTGTTTGTACAAAATAAAAAAATAATTTTTAATGATACAATAGCCATGATTATTATTTAAAAAAAAATTTTGTTAGGCTTAACATTGGCGGCACACACAACAGAGAAAAATTTCAACATGGGATAGTTTAAAGGATTTATTTATTAATTGAAAATATATTTTAGAGAGAAAATTTCTTGGATGTAGTAGCAGAGTGATATTAAAGTTAAAATATTCTTTATCCGAAAATACAATTATAATTGATAAAGTAGATCAGTTTGAATTTCTATATCTTAGTAGTAAATATGTTCAACAAATTATTCTAGAATATTTTTATGATGTCATGCATTATTGTTTCCTAATATAAATTATATCTCAATATTTTATTACCCTTAGAAATTGTAAATAAAAGTGGTTATTCCAATAACATATAATTTTAAAAAAGTTTAAAGTTCTAAATAATATAAACAAGTAACTGATAATTTTATTCTTACTTTCATAAATTACCATAAAATCTGAAAAGCTAAGTTCATTCAAAAACCAGGAATTTTATTTAGTTATTAAAATTTTATACAAAAATTTTAAAGAATCCATTGACATTTTCAATTAAATCTGTAAGATTACCAGATTAGCACTTTTATATTTTTGAAATATATAAAAAAAATTGATGTAAAAGATTACAAAAGTTCTCTTCATTTTTCTTCCTTATATTACCAGAAACAAATTTATAATATAGTTGAAAGTTCGAAAGATTACATATTAATAATTTAAAATGTATAATATTAATAGTCTAGCATTAATCTCATAAGTTTAATAAAAATTATTGCTCTACTTATAAAGAACAATTTCTTTTTATTTTTTAATCGACATTGATAAAGTAAAGCAACTTTAAATTCTTTTATCATCACATCACTGAATTAGTTTCTATAACATGCAAATTCAATTCTTATTAAAATTTATGTTGACATAAATTAGTTAAAAAGAATTAAAAAAAATAAAATAAAATAATAATAACTGGCATAGTACACAGCCACCAGTGTAAACCGAGTATAACCCACGAAACCCAACACATAATAATAATAATAAAATAGCCTTTAAGTGCCGATTTTGAAAAGAAAAAAGTTACTGATATATGTATATTAATTTATGGTTAAAGTGTACCTAGGTAACCTCAATGGTGGTGTGTCCGACTGTTCATGCTCCCGATGGATTCCTCCTGGAGGGGAGCTGCTGACAAGCCACTGAGTGTTTAACATCACTAGTTATCACTAGTTATTGATTCACAGTAGTTTTTAAACAAAATTTAAAAAAAAAGGAAACGTCTACTAAAAATATAGTTAAACTAACCTAACCTAAGCGCCACCATTGGGGTTACTTAAGTACACTTTAACCTAATTTATTTCATATGATTAGTTCAATTGACTACTTAAGCAAATTATTGAAAACTGACAAAANAGGAAACGTCTACTAAAAATATAGTTAAACTAACCTAACCTAAGCGCCACCATTGGGGTTACTTAAGTACACTTTAACCTAATTTATTTCATATGATTAGTTCAATTGACTACTTAAGCAAATTATTGAAAACTGACAAAATTGAAATGATACAGTTAAAGAATATAATTTTAACGTATTTATTTATTGTAATTAAATCAATAACAATAATAATTGAAGCTGGAACTTCCACAGTATATAAAGACACTAAACACAATCTTTTCCAGCAACTAAATTTAGTTCCTGGAAGTGTAAGGTATATTCAGTGTCATTATATATTGTAATTAAAGTTATGAAGCATAAAAAAATGCCTTATTTAAAAAAATTTTGATAAATTACTACTTTCTATTATTTTTAAATAATAATTAATGAATGCAACTTACTTTCATAGGGTTGCTTTTTTCTTCCTCTTCTATTTCTTTTGCCTCTCTTTCTGCTTGTTCTTCAGCAAGTTTCAAAGCTTGAAAATTTCTTGTGGCACCATTTTCCACAACATAATCTGCATTTTGTGGATCAGTCTAAAAATATTTTTAAAATGTAAAAAGAAGTGTATTAAATTATGTAATTTTCTGAATTTAATGAACACTTAATATTACTTATAAGTATGTATTCCATAGTTAATTTTTTCATTTATGATTAAGTTATTATTTGTTTATCTAACTGAAGTTTTTGAATTATTTTTATGCACTACTTTTGGTCCACAAGAATACAAGAATGTAGAAACAACGTAAGAATACATTCTTTATACAACACTAGCTTACCTGTCGCGCATTGCTGCGATCTCAGAAGAAACGAAATTCAAACAAACTCGTTATAATAAAATTAAATTTTCATTTTATCATTTTTATTGAAACTTATTATTATTATTCATTTTCATCGGGAAAACATTTCAAAGTGTCGTTTCAATTCTATTTATTTATTGGAGTACTTGTGGATACACAATATTTTTTGTTTTTCAGTCTGGTGATGAACTGCTACCCGTTATTTTTTGGAGGGGATTTCCCTTCTAAGCATTAAGGTTCGTATATCTCCATTTTTCTGCCACCACCTACAACAAACGAAGGTATGTACAGTGCTAGTTTATTAAACAAAGTTTACACGTTTGTTGCTGTAATCAGTGGTGATATTCGAAATATTTAACAAAGGGTTCGCTAACAGAAAATTTTTCCTTAACAATTATTTTTCACTGTTGAACGATTTTAGAATCT